GAAAGTATCTGTGAACATGAGCTGCTCTCTCTCAAACCCAGAAACCCGAGAGGCCCAAACTCGTGATGTCATAAGGTATCAGGTCTGGAGTTGCTCCATAGACAATGAATGGGAGACTGATTTTGTGGACCCACAGAATGTTTATTTTCCTATTTATACCAAAATGAGCTTGATTCTATCGTAGTGTTCCTAGTTCTGAAACAGAAAATGTACCCATATACTCAGAACGTTCCCCTGGGTGCTCCCAGTGTCATCTAGAACATCATTCCCAATTCATTGTCTATGGAACAGTTCCAGACTTCAAACTCTATGACATCAAAAATTTAAGTTTTACCACTCTAGTTTTTGGATTTGGGAGAGAGTTAAATTTTACTAATATTTTGGACTGTCTTAGACCATAGGTATAATATGTCTGAATATTGAAAATGGTCTTAGCTCCTCTTTAATTCTTCCAATACTGTCTATTGTAACAAATTCAGGGCATCATTGACAAAACTTTAAATGCTTTCACTTAACAGAAACAAGCTATCACCTAACTAACTACCCTGCCTACCCAGAGTGAACTTTAGAAATGATAGTCATCGGCACAAAGTCATAAGCAGTCTGCTGAAGTCTATTCCTGTTGACACTGGGCGAGAAGCAAGGCACACCATGGACAGGTCGCCAGACTATCACAGAGCTGACACATAGAGACAGACAACCATTCACACTCACATTCACACCTACTCACCAGTTAATCTTAATGTCTTTGTAGGAAGGAAGCCGGAGAACCCGGAGAAATCCCACACAGACACAGGTCAGTCACACCAGTAGGTTCAAACCCAGAGCACTCTTGCTGTGAGGTGACTGCACCACCTTGCTGCCTGGAGACAATAATATTTTGATTGACCAACTGACATCCACTCTACAAGCGCCATTTGTTAGCACATTCTAGAGCAGTGTGCCTGACATTGCTAACAACAACTAGCTTGGAATAAAATATAAAATAAACAGCGGTTTTACAGTAGCTGCCCCTAACTAAATATAAGTTGCTAGGTAAAGCTAAGACCAAAAGCAATTGGGGTTACTTTAATATGGTAGATTGAATATGCTAATGCTAATTCAGTAAACATTAGTTAGTTAAACTAGCTAGCCATGTTAGCTTGGCTAAAGTTAGCCAAGCTAACGTTTCGCTAGTTTGGTAACATCATTGTTTACCATTTTAACACTAACTTAAATATTTAACCTAAGTAGCGATATAATATTGAAAGAAGGATATTATTTTAACTAATGCAGCATTATTTATTTGTGACTAACAACCAATGTCAATGTTGGTTAGGCTAATCACCTAACTTAGCTAAACTAGATTAGTGTTGTACTGTCACCATGTTGACTCAAGGCAGACCATAAGATATTTCAACACGAGTCCAACACATGTAACAGTTAAACCATGTATTTTGAGGGGTTCATTTCACATAGTAAGTGAAGAATACTAAAACAACTGTAAAGTATCTCTCACACCAATGACAGAAAATGCCTCCTTTTCTAGGCCTATGTCCCAAATCAAATATGTAAAACAGTAATGTGAGTTACAATAAGGATAATACTTATAGCATATTTTCATTGCAGTTGAAGACGATCTGAACAACTGCAGAGACGAGCTTGAATATATTGACAAAACCCAACAGCTCATCCTCAGAGATGAGTAAGTGACATCCTTTATCTACCAGTTCTTGCCAGCTCGCCGGACATTTTACAGAGATTCAAGTTTTGAGTCCATTAAACACCACCATGTTTAAATTCAGTGGGTTTAGTCACTGGTTAAACAGTTAATCAGAGCAACATATTTAGGGTAAGGCATGTTGTAGGCCAAACTAACACCCAATCTGGAAGTATCTATCTATTATTCGATGTTTGGCTAAGACATAACTTGTCACATCCTCTGTAAGTTTCCTGTGTTTTGTCCAAACGTATCACGTGTCTGTGTGTCTGTCAGATGAGAGATCCAGAGGCTCCAGGATGAACATGAAGACATTTTACACAGTCTCAGAGTCTCTCATAGTCATGTTAACTGGACTAACTTGGAGTGATGCTAGTGTTGTTCAAGACCTTACTGCCATGATGGCCTGTGAAGACTGAATAGATGAGAAACTAGAAGCTGAAAATCACAAAGTTGACCTTTCTTACCTGCTTTGTTTTTAGATTTTGAAATGGGAGAGGAAGTTGGCAGAACAGAGGACCGATGGGGGAACCACACGCCACCATATGAAATCTGGTAAGAGCAACTCACTAAAAAACACCTGCATAATAGAAAACAAACAAGCTGTTCCCATAAAGTGTGGTACTTTGTCAAAGATTGCTATGCCAAAGCTGCTTGGCAGTGTTTCTTGCTTTTTCCTGTTTGTTCTGCACAGTCCTTGGCAGCCTTTTACACACGGGCATCAGATATGCCTCATCATTGTTGCTGTGATATTCCATTGCATTTTAAGATTTTCTAGTCCTTAATCACACTCTGTAACACAGCAGACTGCTGTCTCTCAGTGTTTAAACCTTATGTGTTCACTTCTAATCAAATGCACTAGTGACACCTTGTGTTTAAAAGATGTTACTGCTTGACTAACAAATGCCGGACTTAGAAAAAGCTTCTTTTTCTATAATCGTTTATCCCGAAAGCACCTTACATTTTTGAATTGAAGTATACAATTAATGGCTAATATTTTACATTACAATAGTCCTGCAGTATAGCCCAATTAAATATGTTTCTGTGGTTTCAGTCCTGCTGAGCTTTTTTGGCACATGGTAATGAATTTTCTTTGTCTAATTATTTTTAATCAAAATGCCATTTTAAACGATATGTCTTTAGTGTGTAATGCGCTAAACTGGGAGACATTCATCAGTACAAGTCCCTGTGGTGAGATCTGTTACCCAAGACTAATCCCAACACATGGATCGACATATCGACTCAGAGATCAGCAATCCAGTATTACTGATGTAAAGTGAAAATTTCTATACATATTATCAGCTTTAAAATTCGCCTTCATTTTGAAATTTCCATGGCATGTCTGTATCTCCATTCACATCCAAGCACACCTCCTTCCTAAACATTCAAAAAGTGCCTGTGGCTTTGTGTCAGGCAGATAATGGTTAACAGCCAAGAAAAAGACAATGAGGAAATTTACATTCACATATAGATCAAAGGCCCCCGAATGTAGTTGAAATTAAATTGTATTGTGGCAGACTTTATGATATCAGCAAATATTATATCATGATGAAACTTGTGATGTACGCCCCTTATAGTGAGGCACAGTCAGTTGGAGTCTAAAGAATCAGAAATGGAAGATTTTTAAGGTGCTTTTAAAAAGATCTTTACAGAGAAGAGGAACAATAGACCTGGACCACCTCGTTGGAAACTTTCCATTAAACATTACTGACTGTTGTGATATATTTCCATTAGTGGAGGAAAGGAACTTGACCTTACAGGAAATGTCAGCAATCAGGACAATGAAGCAGAGACCACTGGAAAGCAGATTTCTCAAGTTGGTGTTTTCTGGTGGTGTGTGTGTGTGTGTTTGCTGGAGAGAAAGGGAGAGAGATGAAGAAAAAAATGAACATTATTGCCCTTGTACGCTGTCTTCCATTATGTCCTCTTAGACTGAAAGCTTTGCAATGAGAGGTTGCAATGTTTGTGAATGAGGCGCAGCAGCAGGAGCATCCGGCAACTCGGATAAAAGTTTCTATCAAGCAAGAAGCAACCAAGCAAAAGATGGCAGCTTAATAATATCGTGCTGGGTCTTTGGAAAAGCTCCCTAAATCAGCTCAGAGAAGGTACAGCACTGGGCATCCCTGCATAACATTATCCTTCTGAATATATAGGAAACATGGCGAACTGTTTAACAGAGTTAAGCTATATTTATCTGTATTTTTTCACCGTTGTCATATAGAAATAGTATATACACCATGTGAATGTCTAGTAGCCCAACGCAGCACTTACTTAAAATACATATTGTCTTATTCCATCATAGAAAACCTAAAAGCAGCAGCATGCAGACTGCAGATCAGATCAGATTGAGCAGATCAATGTGTTTGCTGGTAAGCAAGTAAAAACATTACTTTTAATTTGATTTGTTCCTTTTTCTTTTTTTGAATATGGAATTACTTTAACTGGGATAGAGTGCGTGTACAGAAGCAAAAGTGCTTGTGTGTGTCAATTAATGTAAATCTGCTCTGTGTTGGGTAGCAAATGCAGATGTAGTCTTTAAAGCAGAGCCATCAAACAAAAGTAGAGCACCATCAGCTACGGTATACATGAACTATAGACGAGTAGTAAATATGACATGGTAGACGCTGAAAGTTTCATCTACAAGTGGAAGATAGAATAAATGTAATAACATCAGTCTTGAAGAAATAATGTAATTTCTTTATACCTTATCTCACTACTACTTTTCCTAAGTGCTGAATAATTGCTTTGAATCAGCTGACAGCTCTATGATCTGTAACCTGATGGGGCCCAGGAGGAAATAAAAGAGTACCTGAAAAAGGTGGAGAACAGATTCTATGACCTTCTCGCTGTGCGGTCCTATCTTCAATTAAAAAAAACAAAACACCACAGCCAGTGGGTGTGTTGACATGAAATGCTTTGTCAGCAGAGAGTTGAAATACTGTCACAACCAATGCTTTTTACTGATACATCAATGTTAAAGCTCTTATCCAGTAGCTTATTTTATCAGGTTTATTATATGCCCTAGCAGACATGACAGAAAAGAGGTTTTCTATTATTTATCCTTCAGATTCAGAGCAAAAACAGGACAGACTGACCTGATGTTTACAGTCAATGCTGCTCCTTAGAGCTGCCATGAGCAGCTGCACACTGAGCCACCAGAAACAAGTCAGTGCTGAGCATTTAAATTTTCTGAAAGATACATTATACTGTATGATTTTTACATGATGTCAAGATTAATGTAATATGATGTATTGCTTCAATGTAGTAGTCTCTCAACAGGAAATAACAGTGTGAGAGCTAATGGCATGTTTATGTTTATTGTATGTTAGAGTGCAAATCTTCACAGCTAGTGGTACCTATAAATTCAATACATTTATTTTCGATATTTTAAGTATTGTCTCCATAGCTCAGTAGTGTTTTTTTACTTTCTATTTCAAGAAGCTGTTCAGAGAGACAGAAAAAATGAGCAACAAAACTTTAAGCATTCATGAATATCCTGAGATGTATTCTACACACTGACACAGGTGGGAAAGAATTTTGTGTTTGTTGGATGACATTTAGAGCAAACAATGATTCAAAAGCAATTTAAATTTTCAGGTTTTTACTAGAAATTATGAGGATGATTACATGATCTAGTTAACCAACAATGATAACAATATGACATGCTGAGCAATAAATGATCAAGTTCTTGGCATATTACTTATAATTCAAGACTTAACAGGTTCACTCACACATAAACACACACACACACATACACACACAGTATTAAAATCCCTGAGCAATATGAACAAAACAATCAGCTTCAATACACTTCATGATTTGGCCCTATATTCATCAGTCTAATTTGTCTTAAGTCATCCCAGTATCATTTTCGTGTTTGATTTTTCGAGTACAGTCATTTTCATGTGAAGTTTTTCAGTCTTCTAGCTCTGGCCAATGTTGCCACAGTACACCACCTTGCTCTCCAGCCGTGACCGCTCAGCTTCAAACACCAGCAAATGGCTCTGCAGTGTCTCCTCAGGACCTGAGCGGATCAGGGACGGATCGTTGTTCTGCACTCACAAAAACACACACACACACGCACATACACACACACGGCTAATCAACCATCACAATCAGTGTTTCCAAATCCAGACATTAATTTAGTTTTAGTGCCTCCTCCACATGTACAAGAATGCAAATTAAGTGAATATTCTTTATCTGTCCTAAATTTGGCCAAACAACTGCAAGGACAGGTCAGCTGTCACTATAAGGTGAACTGTTCACACACAGCAACAACCAAATGAGTTGATTCTGGAGTGGATAGAGGAGGAAAAGAAATCAGAAAACCATACATTGACAAAACACATGTAAAAATATTATGTAGAAGCTCTCACCGCCACAGCAGAAATAAAAGCATCCATTAGATGGTAGTCTGCTCCACCATGTCCTTTTATGTCAAAGTGCTTAGGGGCGTCATTGTGTGGCTTGTGCGTTGTTGATCTTTGGGTCAGAAAGTCAAACACACGGATTTCATGGCTGTCATATGACAGCTCCCCCTGCGAGGATACAGTTCATTATATAGCCAGTATTTAACAGATGCATCAGCTTTTAAAGGCTACATTACAGTGAACTATGTTTGAGCTGAGTTAAATCAGTAATTCATTTCTCTAACAGATATCATATCTACACACAGATGATTTTCTTTCTTAAAACTTTCAGCTGTGTAATCACCTTAAAGTAACAAGTGTATTTTCTAAAATCGTGCCACACTGGATTGATAGCATATCATTATCAATACAACCTATAGCCAGAAGTACTAACACAGTACGAGCAGTGTGTCCTGCACAGTTGCCCTTCTTGGCCCCCATTGCCATTTTGGGGGGGGGGGATTCAATATGTTAAAACAGCATTGGTATAGCCGAACCCGTCTGTGAGTGAAATCACTCTGATTGGAAGTTCAGCCAAAGACACTCTATAATAGAAGATACCTCATTACAAGCTGCTCCTATGATACAAAAAGGTACTCGGTCTCCTAAGTGGGTGTAGTCGTCTCTCCCCTGCATACCCCAACCTTGTTTGGAAGTATAGTAAACGTAATGTGGATGGATGAAATATGACTCAAAACAATACAACTCTATATTACTTACAAATCTAATGTTTGTTCCTTACTTTGCTGCTCATTTTTAACGGCTAGCTTAATGTCTTACATCAGCCGAGTGTAAGATCACATCAGCTGTTGCCAGATCTTGCGAGAGTATGTTGCAAAAACAGAGAGACAGTCTCGAACAAAGTTAATTTTCTCCTGATGTGTCTGTCTGAAAAAAAAAAAAAGCCATTTCAGTGTCAGAATGTTTAGAAGGGTCGGGGCTCGTGACAAATGGGTCTAATATTTACTTAAGTGACTGTAGGACTAAGGGAATGGTCATAATCTGAACTCTCGTTCATTTTTCTCATTGGAATAAATGGACTCAGGACCCCTGCTACTCTCCTAAAGGAGCGGGGCCGGTGAAACCCATGTGACACAGATACAGAAAATGAATCTAAGATGGGCTGTCTCGGTTTACCCACTGTCTCTGGTTCAGCTCAGCACATGAGAAGAGAAACACAAGTGAGGAAAGTAAACAAAGAGCTGAAGTCAAGTGGGAGTAAAACCGAAACAAACTTGTTACCTTAGCTAAGGTTTTTTTTCTTTCGCCGCTGAGCTCTTTAGCAGAAAGATTTTGTGATGGTTTGTGTTATTGTTTACCGGTGTACGGTTAATTTGCCCTGTTCTTTCAGCATTGGATTGTGTTGCTAATGTGCTAACTGGCTAACTAGCGTCCAGACAGGGTTCTGGTTTCCCTTTTTGAATGAGGATTATAGACAACCACCATCTGCTGATGTGGGGAGTTATTTCCTCTCACGCAGGCACAGAACGTATGTGGGAGTTGACCGTCGGCTGTAGCCTCTGTGGTGTAATCATGAGCTTTTTTTCGGTCAAGACATGGCAACGTCAGGTGACGCAGCAGGGGGGCTTTGGCACCACAAGTTCTCTTTAGTCGGTTTGAGGTCTGTGGCTGCGGTATGAGCAAGGCTCCTTAGATCCATAAAAGAGAGCACTTAATGCTGCAGTGTACAGTAATATAATATTTTAGGCAACAGAGTGCTTCCAATAGCTTGGGGAGGCGCTTTCAATTTATGTTTATTAGAGTGTCTTTTAGCACCCGCCTAAGAATAGTCACACTGCAGCTATTCAGCTATTTACACCAGGACTAGGGCAAAGAAATCATGGTTAAAGCTAATACTAGCCAATCTTGGATGTTATCTGAGATTAAAGTGGTAAATTTACGATAAAAAAACCTCACTCATGTACTGCCAGAAAGTCAAGTGACGTAGTATATGGAGCGACTTAAAACATGGTGGGTGAAGGACTTTCACACAGGAGACTGGTGACTAATTCTTGTGGGTATCAGTGTTGGCATATTATTTTTAAATGTAGCTGACTTACTGTTTTCAGTTTTTAGGATGTACAAAGCTGCTGCATGTACACTGTGTACATAGACTTTAGCAGAATAATACCCTTTCATGTAAACGTCATATTTTGATGTTGCTAGGATGCCCAGGAATATATATAAATAGCCACATTGGCTCTTTCCATCCCCGGTGTATAGCATTGTTGGTTCAGGACACTTGTGTGCAAATAGCATCTGCCTTTATTTTCTAATTTGGCATGGAAGAAATTGACTGGCCCGCACACACCCTACACACACCTTTGGATTCGCACTGTGAGCCAGGCCTTATCATCCAACATTAGCGCTCAACCTCACTGATACTTCTGTGGATGAAAGGAATCTAATCTCTGCAGACAGATTTCAAAATCCTGTGGAAAGCCTTCTCTGAAGAGTTGAGGCTTGCTTGTTATAGCAGTATGTTCATGCTCATGATTTTGGAATGGCATCCCTTACAATTGCATATGGGCATAACAATAGGGTGGCTGTATACTTTTGGGCATATGTGGTCAACCCTAATTTGAGTTTTCTGTCATCACCTCTTTCTTGTAACATTTGTAACATTTCTTTGTCTTTGTCTTTGTCTTAGCCTTGTCTTCCTTCCAGTCGTACCTTGCTGCCATAGATGGTTGTTTTTCGGTTGCAAATCTCCTCAGTGAAAGCCACCATGGAAAAGGCTGCTGTCAGACCCCCTTCAAACTCCATGTTAACAACCTGGGCAAACAGAACAGATAAGCTGTAGGGAAACATCAGCAGCAGTCTGGACATATTAGCTGAAATGATCAGACTCTGTAGTTTATTTTGACCGTATCCTCGATACATACCACCAAGGATACTGGTGCATCCAAATTTTATTGAAGGAATAATAAAAGTTGATGGGCTAGAGAGGGATAGTACAGTATGTTGTGACATGGAGATTAACGAGACAGTAGTTCACCCCCAAACAAACAAACCTCTTACCTGCAGTGCTCTTTATCAGTCTAGACTGTTTTGGTGTGAGTTGCTGAGAGTTGGAGATATCTGCCGTACAGATGTCTGCCTTCTCTCCAATGTAACAGAACTAGATGGCACTCAGCTTGTGGAGCTCAAAGCACCAAATATACTGTACATTTGAAAAATTTACAGCAATGTCTCTTTCTAGAAATCAACACTCATCGACTCACACCAAAACAATTTGGAGTAATAGGTAGCACCACAGGTAAGAGGAAAATACAAAATAGTTATCTTTGATTTTGAGGTGAACTGTCGGTTTACGTGTGTTATAAAGCCAGTGTTTTCTAACCTGGTTACTGCAGACATCATTGTCACACTCGTAGACACAGCGGCCATATGGTCCAGTCTTCAGGGCCTCAGTTACTGACTCGATGTCTGGGTCCGAGCTCTGGCATATGACTGATACAGGCCAGCCAGTGTGACCCTAGCACACATACCACACATATGAAATCATGTACAGCAAGTAAAGTATTATGTTCACAGAATCCATAATTGGTGAAACTATTATGTTGAAATATGAATCTGTTTTACTCTATCCAGGTAGATTTTGCGTGCTGAGTAGGGACAGTCTTTTTCTATTGCACAATCCAGGCAGCGATCTCCAGCACCTGTTGGCTGACAAAAAAATGAGCAACATTTTATATTCATGCTTAGTATTTCGTTTTGCAAAAATGCAGAGAACTTTGATGGATGTGATACATCTTAATGACACAAAAATATAACTCAGCAATGTTGAAAAGGATTAAAGTGCTGTAATGTTATGTGCTGTTTCTCAAAAAAATTATAGATCTACAATAAAAACAAAAAGGAAAATATAATCACATAGATTGTTTGTTTCATATCTGCAGCGATTACTTGTTTCCTCTGTGATAGTCACGATTTCTTTGTATTAGGCCTCATACGGTGAAGAGTTCACAGACCTTGTGTTTTTTTCCAAAGTGGCTTACAGATCCAAATGATGACACTTTCAAACACCTGCCGAGTACAAAGTTAATGATTCATCTCAGGCAAAACAGGACGACTTCACAGAAAACAACCTCGCCCACGTGAAAACACAGACTGTGGTCCAACAAATGTGTTAAGTGTATATACTTCTGAACATCAAGAGCAGAGTTTTACCTGTGTGCTCCAGCCCAGTGATGTATTAGGTCGATGTCGTGGCACGATTTAGCCAAAAGAGAAAACGAGCTCTCTGCTTCATTCCTCCAGTTCCCTCGAACATATGAGTGAGCAAAGTGATAAAACCCAACCTGCAACAAGAGGTTGACAAGACAAATCAGTAATCTGTTACAGTAATGCTTGAATTTAAACTAGAATTAATGCCCCATGGTTGTATGCCTCTGCACACTAGTGTTGTGTGTGAAAACAGGGATGCTTCACACACATCCTCCCCCCAGCAGCACAGAAGATTTATACAATCAGCAGGTGGTGGGCACCCAAGATAAGTGTCACCAATTCAGTATTTGATCAAATGTCTCCCCCTCTGTTCCTGAGATATGACGTTGAATAATGGCCAGAAAAGTGTTTTTGCAGAACGTTACGATGTCACAGTGAAGTTGATGTTTGACCTTTTGGATGTAAAATGTCATCACTTCATTATTATATCCTACTAGACACTTGTGTGAAGTTTGTCATAATTAGCAGATGAATTCTTGAGTTGTGGCTTCTTGAGATTTGACCTTTGACCAACCACAAAATTTGAATCACTTCATTCTTCAGTCCAAGTGGACGTTCATGCCAAATTTACAAAATTCCCTCTTGATGTTCTTGAGATATCATGTTCACATGAATGAGACAGATGCAAGGTCACACTGGCCTTTGACCCTTGACAACTAAAATCTATTCAATTCATCCTCGAGTCCAACTGAGCATTTGTGCCAAATTTGAAGAAATTCTCTTGAGGCATTCTTGAGATATCATGTTCACAAGGAAGGGACGGATGGATGGCCAAAACGAAAAACATAATGCCTCCAGCCACGGCTACTGCCGGTGTAGAAGCATTAAAAAAAGTGTTAAAAGCAGGAATACTGTTACTGATGGATGTGTGAGTTTAATGAGGAGCCCTGAGGGTTTGCAGCATTACTGTCTTTATTTCTATTCTGTTGACATTTTTACCGGCTCAAAGTGCTGAATGTGCATCACATCACCTATGACTCCAGCATCTATCAGCTCCTAGAAAAGAGAAGAAAAAGAAAAGGGGATAATCCTTGTTTGGACTTTGTGATTTTCTTCACCAGTCTGGGTGAGAAAAAGTTTCTGTGTTCAGAAATCTAAACAATCAAAATATACTTTGCTCTCCTTGATAATTATCTGAATAAAACTCATATAATCAGGTACTCAAATAGATGTCTCTAAACCCAAAACTGTGACTCAAGCCTGGTAAAGAAAACTGTCAAGTGTTTTCATAAAGTGTGACAGAAAATGTTCACCTTAATCATGTGGATGAGAGGATCATACCGGAGAACATGGCCCACTGATAGTATCACTCCACTCTGAGTGCAAGCCTCCACAATCGCCTTGCAGTCTTCAGCAGTTGTCTTCAGTCATGTGAGGACATTGGTGCACAAATGCAAGAGATGATTTTGTTTTTGTTCCGAAACTGACACAAAAAAGCATCTTTCGTCCTAAGTTTGAAATGTGCTTTAAAGAAATACAATGTGAAATGTGATGAAAAAATGTAGTATTATGTGAGCATGATTTTTTTTTTTGGAAAGGGTAATTTGTAATAAAAGTACAGAATTACACACTAACATTAAAAAACAATCTGTAGGATGATAACCCATATTACAACTCTATGTTGAGATAATTTATGTTTATTAACAAAGCACTCACAGCCATTGGTTTCTCCAGCAGAATATGGTAGCCTTTCTGTGCAAAGGCCACTGCAGGTTCCTGAGGAACAGAAACTAGTTTAAGAGAATGACAAGAAAAGGACTATGACAAAGTTAAATAATTCAGACTGATAATGAGGTGTGTTCACAGAGCTGAACAGTAAATGTATATAAATATCTATAGTGTTTACCTTATGAAGGCGGTCTGGAGTACAAATTAACACTGCATCTGCAAACTTCTCTCTTTCGATGACACTGGGCCAGTCTAGTTTGAAAAAAGCACATTTAATAATTTAGTATGAGGCAAATATTAACAGATATAAACACTTAAATGCATTTTTTTTCCTTTTGATGTTCACCTTCAAATATGTTTTCATCTACAATGTTGTGCTCTCGTTGAAGTTTAGTGCGAGCAAATTTCCTTGGATCAGCTACTCCAACAATCTACTGGGAAAGATGAGTTGAAGAAAGGCGCATAACAAGTGTTCTGTTAGAAAATAAGTAGAAAAATTTATATGTTATATTTTTATTTATATTTTGATCATTTACTTAAAGGTCTGGTGTGAAGGATTTAGGGCAGGCCTATTCAATTAGCGGCCCGCGGCCGTGGCACACAGGCCACGTACGGCCCAGAAGAAACCTCTGAGTGGTACTGAGACCTGTTATTAAACAGCCTGGGGCAAATTTAATCAAGACCGTAATAATTATAAGCTCCGATATTATCGGGTCTTTTGTCGTTAGTTTTTAAAGTTTTGGTTTCATGTGTCATCATGAAGCAGTGTTCTTCATGCTTAGATAATGTTACCTTTTTTTATTTAGTATTGTGATGTCAGGAGTAATATTAATTTTATTGACATGTTAGATTTGTTTCCAGTGAGATATTATTGAGTTTATATAGTGACTTTGTTGTAAACATGACTGTTGCTGTCAAAGACTGTTTAAAACTATATCCTGTGTATCTGACCTATAAGGAAAACATCTGGAAGTGAGGTGTGTGCATGTGTGTGTGTGGGAGGGAGAAGGAGATGCTGGTAGAGATAGAGTGTGTATAAAGTAGATAGTAGGTTGCTCACTCCTGAAAATATGGCCCATCAACATTTTCTGGTTTTAAAATCTGGCCCAGTTGATTTTGTAATTAAATAGCCCTGATCTAGGGGGATATAGAATTCAATATAATTCTCATAACTAGGTTTTACTAGTGTATAGGCCTAATCACCTGAAAATAAAAAATGTGGTGTTAACGTTACCTTACAATGAGCTGTTTATATCTACATATGGAGCAGGGCCTCTGTTTCTACAGTATTCCAGGGCGGACAAACCAAACACTGGCTCTAGATTGGGCCATTTGTGTTTTCACGTCTGCAGTAGAGCTTAGATCGGGCCCAAAAAATCCAGCCCGACCCGGCCCAAGCCCGTGCACGTTATGTCTGGGACCGGCCCTGCCCGTCCAATTAACTGTAATTATGGGCCCGAGCCCGATTTAAACCCGACATTTTTCAATAAGTTGGCTGTTATAATTAAGAGTCTTAAACCACAAGTCTTGTTATTTGAATGACAGTAACATAGGATCTTAATGAATGGCGCAACACGGAAGCATGATTATGTAGCCTAATAAAACAGGTGTTTATTTTAGGATCCAGGTGGTGAAGGGCTGTGCGCGCACAATGTTGCAACATTGTAACTAAGTTTGTTGTAACTTTATGTGTCATACAAAGTGTAGTTTAATTTTAGTTTTTATAATACTGTAGCGTCCAGGACGTGTGGAAAGGATGACGCAGTTATTCGGCAATTACACCACCGTTTATTACTGAACAGTACAGGTTACTGTTGGCCATAATCACGCCAAAACAACCAACAAACAACAATTTAGCTGTAACTCCATCTGTGCACTCCTGCTCTCTCCTCCAGCTCGCTCATACACACACCAGCACGCGCACTCACACAGCCCTCCTCATCCCCGTCTCACTCGCACTAGAGGGCTGCATTGGGACTGGGTCCCGCCGGGAATATTGCGGGAGCGGGCGGTTTGGACTTTGCTGCAGGCGGGATCTTGGTGCACATGCATGAGCGTTTCCACTCTATATTTATTCATAAATGGACAAATATGCCCTGAACCAGCTTTCATACCAATTTGCCGCTTGCTCCACCTGTCTGTCTGTCTGTCTGTCTGTAAGCTCCATCTGTCATGAGACAAACATGAAAGAAGACGTGCAGTTTATTGTGTTTCACCGGCGACTAGCTGTCATTACGAGCGACAATTACGCACGGCTGCGCGCTCTTTATAACTCACTGTGAACCTATGTTGCATAATAAAGATTTGCCCCCTCGTAATTTTTAACCGCCCCCTCAGTAACTTCATCCTGGCACCAGACCTGCCTTAACCTCAATCACTGTGTGATTATATAAAGGTAGAAAAATAAATAAAATACAGAGGAGGAGAACAGAATATGAAACAGCCTTTATTTCATTAAAAACTAAATGAAAACAACAAAATGGGAGCGCTATTCCTGACCAGTGCGTCAAAAGACATGCAGGCCAGGGAAACGAAACAAACAACCCCATGAATCTCTTTATTAATAGCCTATAAAATGACGTGTTTTCTCCTGCGGGACGGGAGAAGACACAAAATCATCGATCTCTATTATTGTGCGGGCATAAATTCTCAGAGTTTTGCGGGTGCGGGCGGGAGTGTAAAGTGCAACACACACCGCCGCCGGCGCGGCGCTGTGGCCGTCAAGTGCCGCCCCCCAACACACACTGGCAGCGGCGCGCAGCGGCACCATCAACATGTATTTCCCACCCCAGCCCGCTAGGTGGCTGTACCTACACTAGTTGCCAACGGTTGCCAACTGCTAGTAACGGAAGAAGAAGAGGAAAAACTTTGAGGCAACAACAACTTGAATTTCACGGGTGAATTTCTTATCAAAGTCGTCTTATTAAAAATTTGAAACAACCGGAGTTGATCCTACGAGACGAGACGTACATAAAAGGCTTTTCTCGCAGCGCCGCCATGAGCGCCGGCTGCGCTGGAAATAGAGTAGCGGGCTGAAGCAGAGCGGCGCGGCGCGTCGGCCGGCGCAAGTGTGGGTTGGTTCATAGAATATAATGGAGGCGGGCGTTTTGACGCCTATAACATTATCAAATCATAGCTTTAAAAAAAATAAATAAATAAATAAAAAAAACGTCATATCTGACCGGCCCAGCCTGGGCCCGTCAGAGGGAGGGGGGCTCCCGGTCCAACAGGGCTTGGGCCCGCGGGCCAGGTCGGGCCGGGCTCGGGCTCGGGCAGAGAATCTAAGCTCTAGTCAGACATATCTCTCCTACTCGTTTGCCACACAGGAGAAGTTTCAGTTCTGCAGCCTCACCACTAGATGTCACTAAATTCAACACACTAAACCTTTAAATAAAGAAGCAATACATCAGGGAAAATACAAATAATACCACTCAAATAATAATAATAATAATAATAAGCAGAATAATCATAATGAACCTATATTGTTGCAGGAAACATGGATTTGAGGATCTTCTTGTACTGTGACAAACTTTTCTATTATACTTTACATGTTTCTGTCATGAATATCTTGTCAGTGATCTCATCTGGGATCATTTGGCTCATAAATTTTTATGGTGTCAAAATGTGTTTTTATTGATGCAGTAAACCAGTAACTCAATCCACAAAAAATATTTTACTGCATCTTTGTTGACAAGTTCAGGTCAACCTCTCCTGACCTTAACTCGTTCAGGGTGGATCCATGCAAACTGGGATAAGCATTCCCCACGACAACCAGCACCCACCACGATGACACGGACAGGGGTCGTCATTTTGCCACCCTGTGAACTTTAACACAAATCAAAACTTGTAAACACACCTTTTACAATGGCTGAAGTAAAACACACTAATTATTAGTCAGTCAGAGGCTGATACAGCTGGTCCCTGTCAGGGACATCATATACCTCCTGTAATCTGGGTTATTATTCACAACACCTAGTTCTCTAAATATAGATTATCCGTCATTTAAATTAACTATATAAA